AAAAATTTCCATGGCCTCTCCCTTGACACCAACCCAAGAATGAGCTTTCTTCTAACCATGCTCCTGTTCTTTCCCCCAGACCCCATTACAGCCATTCTCCACTGCATCTACCCACCATGCTCCTATAAATTTGAAATGTGGAAAATCAATAACAGGAACATGGAACTTGAACACCTTAGTTCCGCTACATGTCCACTTTCTTCATGCAATACCGTTTCCCTCAGGTTTGATATGGTAGATGCCTGATGGTAGGTTCCTATGCTTCGTAGATGACCAAACCAAAAGAGAATGTAGGGACCTGGGCAATTGGGAAGGTTGCCCTTCATGGCAATGCAACTATCATTGGCTGAGTGAGGTGGGCAAAGAGGGATGGGGTAGATACGGAATGGACACAAACCAACTCACTCAGGTAGACGACCTGGCCAACCATCAGTGTTCCAGAGATTCAATCCTACACCGGCACAACTGATAGAAACAAGGGGTCTGTGGGGAAGTAATCTTCAAAATACTTAACCTACACTCATGGACGGGGGACCGTATTGCTATAGCAGGGATCCAATACACAGTGGGTACCATAGACGGCTGGCGAGTAAAGATAAAAAAGACAATCCAGGACTCCCGGCCCCAAAGGGCCATGGAGGCCCTGGATCAGGCAAGGGGCTTGACAATAAGACAGTTACGACATCTCAATGTCTCCCATGGCTTTTCCTGGGACGGTGTCCTCTATCCCTAAACCTCCTGAGGAGCTTCTCTAACACCAATATGTCTGTTTGCTTTCTCTGTGCCCACCTACAGGGCCCACTCCTCACCTCCCTCCCAGTTTATAATGTCACATCCCAGGCCAATGCTCAATGCTCTCAAAAACCCACAATACAACGATCCCTGCCTGCCCCTTCCTTTTTTTTTTTTTTTTTTTTTTTTTAAACAAAACAGAGTGCTGGGCCTCACAAACATCCAAATGTCCATGCTCATCAAGCCATAATATCACAATCAAAGGTAATGCTGCTCTAACCTCAGGGCTCCTCTTTCTTTGCTCCTCCAAAATATATTCCTGTATCTCGTCCCAAATTAAGGACACCTGTTCTCCAATCATTCTCATACCCAGATTAACCCTATACACACCAGGAGAGGTGTCTGATGTCTTATCCACAGGGACAGCAGGGACCAGAACAAGATCAGCCACACTGGCAGTCTTAGTAGGAATCAGCCTGGTAACATCAATAGCAGCCCCTGGACTCGTGGCTGGAGGTCTGGGACATGCACTGATGTCAGCCCAACATCTTTCACAAGAAATGGAGGACCTCAGACAAGAACTCACTACAATGGTAGAGGTTACTACTCAACCCATAGAGACCCTACAACAACAGCTATCTTCTCTGGCCGAAGTAGCCCTCTAGAATAGGCGGGCCCTGGACCTATTAACAGCAGAAAAAGGAGGTGCCTGCATTTTCTTAAGAGAGGAATGCTGCTACTATGTCTATCAATCAGGAAAGGTTGAACACAATGTAAAGTGCCTCCAACAGGTAGCCAAGGATCTTTCATTTAAAACTTCCCAATACCAACAATCACCCCAATGGGATATTTTTACAGGATTCACTCATTGGCTCTTGCCCTTACTTGGCCCCCTGCTCTCTATTACTCTGGTACTAATCATTGCTCCCAGCCTCTTTAAATATTTTCAAGGCTGGATCCGACAACTAATTCATACCAGCTTTAACCAACTGTTACTCTCCTTCTTTCCACATGTGTATGAACGCCTGTCGACCATGGAATACTTTGTCCAGATGCACGAACTGGAGACCCCTGCTGTCTGACCAGCCCTGACACCAGCCCTCCCTACCCCACGCTGACCCTGACCAGCAGGAAGTAGCCAGATGAGAAAAACGACCCCCTATCCTATAATTAAAAAAAGGCTGGAATGTTAGGGTCTGACCTACTGCAGCCCCCTCCACAGTGCAATAAGAAAAGTCCTCTGTCCAAATACAGGAGCATCTGCAGACAGGACAAACAGACTCCCTGCACCCATGACCTAAGCCCCTATTGCAGCAAGAGCTGCTTCAGCACTACCTGCTTCCCCTTTGATAATTTTAGAAGAGAAAAGAGACCACTCATTCCATGACCAAGAGCCTGGTCGATGTAAGGGGCAGTTTCAACAGAATCTGCGTCCCCCTGTTAAGCCCCCAACCCTTTGGCTTGTTTAAACTGTTTTTTACCTTCCGTATTCCCAACACCTATTAAAAACCCCCAGCCAGCAGCCTGAGGAGCAGCAGATTCCTCTGTTCCCGATGAGGGCTGCTCCCAGTGACTTCTGGAAATAAAGCTCTGCTTTGATTTCTGCTTGGAGTCCTCCTGAGTGGCTTTTCTCTCTTGAATTTTATCTATCAGAGAGCAACTTTTGGAAGTCAGTCATCTTCCTCCCTGGGATCTGAGGACTGAATATAAGTTGCCATGTGTGCGTAACAAGCATCTCTGCTTGCCGAGACATCTTGCTGGCCCAATGGCTGCATTTCATTAATTTAACCTGTTTAACTTGAAGTCTGAATGCCTGTGTAACCACTTCAAGCTTGTAAGGCATTATTATTTTTAAAACTGTCACACTGGGCTAAACATATACACTCCTATTTAATTTTATATTTAAAATTTCAGTGTCAAGCCAGGCATGGTGGTGCATACCTTTAATCCCAGCAATCAGTAGGCAGAGGCAGGTGGATCTTTGGAAGACTGAGACCTCTATATGGTGAGTTCCAGGCAGGCTGGGGCTAGGCAGACCCTGTTAAAAACAAACAACAAAAATTTTCAGTGTCCAAGGACAACTTGCCAAAAGCTCGCCTTCCACCATGTGGGTCCTGGGGATGGAATTTAGGTCTTGGGAACAAACACATTTACCTGGTGAACCACCTTTCCAACCCTACCTTACAATTTTATTTACAAAAAAGAAAAATTTCAAGATAGAGAAATAAGTAAACAGTTTTCAAACTTTCCTTAACTTTTAAACTGTGGTTAATCTTTGAACCTGTAAATGACCTCCTTTGAGCAGTGTCGCTTCAAGAGCCGCAGAATCACATGTACAGCTATTGCTAAGACACACCCATGTCTTAGGTATATATTGTCCATTACTTAAGCATTTACCTGTCTGTCTAAGCCTTCAGGCTTGCATTTGAAATTTGTGTTCTCCCTTATCTTTACTTAATAAACCGGCAAACTGTTCCATTGTGACTTGTCCTGAAATTCTTTTCTCCAACACAAAGATCCAGCTTTAACTGAGTGGAAGCCCCTAAGGGGGAAGGGAATTCCTCAGGCTGCTGGTAACATGGTAACACATGTAGACACAGAACTGCCATGGATGAAGAAATTTCTATAGCTATATATCCCTCGAAGTAGGAGGCAGGGACCACGTGGGAAAGCACAGGGTTGGTCAGGATGCTGAGGGAAACATGGGTGAGTTACACAGGCTGGGACTGGCTGGTTTGGATAATCTCAGTGAACTCTCAGGGCTCAGGGACTTCAGCCTCAGGGACTCTAGAGCTCTGATAAGTAGACCTGGGATTTTTTTAGACCAGATTGTAAAAGGCTGATGCAAGGGTGTGCTGGCTTCTGGATTGGTTAGTTTGAAAAGACATTCTAGTTGAGCTCTTAGGAGAGGTGATTTGTCTTCCATCATAGAGGACTGGCGCCCCCCCCCCCCCATGTAAAAACCATCAAAGTATAAGAAGACATAGAAAATAAAAAGGTATGGTCAGCACAAACTCTTTAAATTCTTGTTCTTGAGATAAAGTCTCACTATGTAGCTCTGGCTGCCTGGAACTTACTACGTAGACCAGGTTGGTCTCAAACTCAAACCTACAAAGACCCACCTGCCTCTGCCACTCAAATGCTGAGATTAAAGGTGTGCACCACCATGCCAGTCTGGGCTACATAGTGAGATCGTGTCCCAAAAACAAAAACCAAAGCTTGGATGTTTCACTACACTGTTGGCGCTTTACTACAGTGCTTTATTGCTCTCTTATTACATTTGGAATATTTGGGTGCTTTATTTTAACCTCAGCACATATTAATATTAGAATGAGCAAGGTTTGAAAAATATGAATTCCCAGATTATATCTACTCCTTAAATACCTTTAAAGTCTCCCCCAAAGTTGTCACACTCACCCCATTAATTTTCCCTTTTGCTTCTTGGCTCCATGTAGGGGAACCTCACTTAGGGATAAGTTCTTGGGGGTAGTGGTTGACCTCAAGAGTGTAGGGTCCCATTGGTGGCTTGTGACTTCATACACAATCAGTCGAGAGGGAGTCTACCTACAAAACAGGTGTATTCTTCTGAAAATAACAGTGGCATGTCACACTTGTTAACGTGGCAAGATGCATCTTGGATGTGCAGCACACCTGCTCTAAGTTTGTAATCTGCACTCTTCCTTCTAAAGTGGATTCCTGCTTCACTGGACGATGCACTGTGTGTTACCCCAACACACAAGCAAATGACGACAACAACAGAAATAACACCTGCCTCTCCCAGCCTGCTTTGCAGGTGGGTGGGTGGTCATTGAGGTGTGAGAAGATGCTGAGTAGGGATTCTGGAAAAGGCCTTGAAAATAAACCCCCTATACTGTTCTTCTCCTCACCTGCCACATTAAGATGAATGTGTGTTTCTGGGGACAGTGGAGGAGAGCCCTGGAAGGAGTCTCATTCCTAGCTCTATGCTTTCTGCTCTGGATTTGTCATTATGGAGGGTGAAAATAAACTCTTGTGTCATTTAAATCAGTACAAGTGGGTTTTTTGTTGTTGTTGTTGTTCCCTGTGGCTGACATGGATTCTCAGAGATCCAAGTATCTCTCCTAATACTTTTTTCTAATAGTGACATTCTTTCTAGCTTCTAGATGATGCTTCTCTTCTGGATGAGAAGCCTTCTCTTCTGGAAGAGGCAGGGTGGTGGTGTTACCCAGGGTCAGGCTCCTTATCCTCTGTTGTGGACCTGTCCAGACACCACCCTGGCACTCCCCACACTAAGAGGACTTTGAGCCCTTGCTGAGGAGCCTTGTTAGTGCCTCCTTCATGTCTTTGTTCCTCAGGCTGTAGATGAAGAGGTTCAGCATGGGGGTCACCACAGTGTACATGATGGTTGCTACAGTGTCCCGGGTGGAGAAAGAGCCTGGGGGCCGTATGTAGATCCCCAGAACTGTCCCATAGAACAAGGTGACCACCGATAGGTGGGAGCTGCATGTGGAAAATGCCTTGTGCCTCCCTTTGGCAGAGGGCATCTGGAAGACCGCCACAGCTATGTGGAAGTAAGAGACCAGGATGAGCATGCAGGGGGCCACAAACAGGACTATGGCTCCCAGGAATACACGTTGATTGACATGTGTGTCTGAGCAGGCCATCTTCATGAGCAGCTAAGCATCACAGTAGAAGTGGGAGATCTCTCGAGCTGAGGGACAGAAGGCCAGTCTGCTCATGAGGAGGGTGTGCACCAGGGAGATAAGGCTGGAGGATGCCCACACTAGGGCCGCCAGCCCCCCACAGAGCCTGGGGGTGATGCTGCTGCAGTACTGCAGTGGGTAACAGATGGCCACAAATCGGTCCAGCGCCATGGCAGCCAGCAGAAAGGTGTCCACATTGGCAAAGGAGATGAGGAAGTACATCTGGGTCAGGCAGTGGGAGTAAGAGATGGTCCGTGTTCTGGCCACGTGGCTGGCCAGGAGCCTGGGGATCAGGTTGGTGGTGAAGCAGAGGTCAACAAAGGAGAGGTTGGCCGAGAAAAAGTACATGGGGGTGTGTAGGTGGGGGTCAGAGCCGATGGCCAGGATGATGAGTGTGTTCCCAGTCATGGTGACCAGGTACATGCGCAGGAAGGCCCAGAAGAGCGCTTGTCGCTGCTCTGGGTCATTGGTGATGCCGAGTAGGAGAAACTCACTGACCCCAGTCTCCGTTCTCCTTCCCCCTGGACATCTTGCAGCTGTGTAGACTCCTGGAGGGAATAGGCTGAATTGTCAAGGAGAGCCAGACTTGCTGTGTGCTTAGAATCAGATCATAGCTCGTTTGTAATAAGAACTGTAGTTTTCTCTATGTACTAATTATTCGTGTGTGTGTGTGTGTACATATGTGCAGGCATTCTTGTGGATACCAAAGGTCAACTTTGGGCCTCAGGACTCCATCTACCCTGTCTTTATTATTTTTAATTAAAATATTTTATTTATTATTTTTATTTTGTGTGTATAAGCCTGCATGTATGTAAATACCCCCATGTTGTGCAATGCCTGCAGAGGTCAGAAGAGGGTATCAGATCCCCTGGAACTGGAGTTATAGAGGGTTGTTAGCTGCCATGTGGGTACTGGGAATTGAACCTGGGTCCTCTGTAAGAGCAGCCAGTGCTCTTAAACATTGAGCCATCTCTCCAGCCCCAGTGTCTTTATTATTTTTTAAAGATTTATTTAATTTTAATTATTTTTGTGTGTGTATGAGCACGCGCGCGCGCACGCGTGTGTGTGTGTGTGTGTGTGTGAATATGTGCACGTGAATATAGGTGCCTGAGGAGGCCAGAAGAAGGCACTGGAGCTGGAGTTACAGGTGGTTATGAGCCATCCAACGTGGGTTCTGGGAACCAAACTCAGGTCCTCTGGAAGAGCAGTATGTGCTCTTAACCTCAGAGCCGGCTCCAGACCTCTACTTTGTGGTTTTTTAAATGGGGTCCCTTTCCCATCTAGAACTTGCTGATTCCACTAAGCTGGCTCGCCACTGAGCCTTTGGGATCCTCTTGCCTCTCCCATCCCCAGCACAAGCATGTCCACGCTTGGCTCTTTTTAGTGTGGATTCTGGAGTTCGAACTCAGGTCCTCATGCTTGCATGACAAGCACTTTACCAACTGAACCATCTCCCCAGTCCCACAATCACCACTTTCATGGTGTGTATTGTGCTTTAAGTGCTTATTGGCTTTAATCAGATTAAGAGATTGCACACACTCTT